AAAAAAAAAAAAAAAAAAAAAAAAAAAAGAACTGCTCTGAAAAATATCGTAAGTGCAAATCTTATAAATCTGGGGAGAAATGTTTAAAAGGTATGAATAATAGATGCAGCTCCCAATGCTCTCTAAAATCGCCTGGAAAATTGCCTTTGATGCAAAATAAAACAGATGATCTTTTTTTATTTTTAGAGACAGAGCAGGAAAGTAGATCTCAGAGCCGCCTGCTGATGGAGGCGGCAGGAAAATCTCATTAGCGCCTGAACCTCTGGTTCCTCATGGTGTCCACGGGACCTAGTCGGTGAAGCTGTTTGTTGTTTTCCCCAATTGTCCATGTTTTCCTGGTACTGAAAATACCTCTCCAGTAACTCTCCTGGAGCCATGCAAGGCCATGGGGAAAGTCGGACATACACTGGGGCTAAACAGGCATGTCAGGACACCTTGACTGGGTGGTCAGGAGCAGGTGCTTTAGTGGCACCTACAATAAACTCCAGTGTGTCAACAACATGAGTGGGTCTCTGTTCCTTGCAACAAGAAGAAGCAAAGGAAGGAAGGAAGTTACTCGGTGTACACTGGCATATTGGTGGTTTCTTCTCAATGCCGTGGCATCATCAGAACCTTGTATTAGGGAAATTACGGCTTCAAAAAGAAGAAAACCACAGTTTGGAAGGCCCATTACGGCAGTGCTTCTCAACCGTAGGGTGGGTGAGAATGCCCTAGAGCGCTTCTTCACCCCGATTCCCCGGCTCCCGCCCCACAGATTCATATCCAGTAGGTGTGGGCTGGGTCCTGAAAACGTGTTTTTCTGGCAGACTCCCAAGTGCTGCTGCTGCTGGGGCTGGTCTTGTGCACTCTGAGGAATGCCAAGGCAGGAGGCCTTTGCAAGTCTCTGAGTCACGAGAATGAGAACAAGAGGACGGGGTCAGTAAATGACTCTCTCGTGATGTAGGATACCGAGTGCACTTTAGTATCTGATACGTGGACACTGGACGATGATATCTTGGGGCCTAGGATCCCGGGAACTCACTGTTACGTCCCCGGCGTTAGCACCCTGCCTGGTACAGAGGCTGTGCTTCCAAAACAGCTGTTAGCTGAACAAGTGAATGTGATATGACTTGCGTTTGCCTGGGTACTGGGAATGGCTATGGTTTGAGTGTTTATGCACCCCCCCAAAACTCATGTGTTCAAACTTAATCACCACTGTGACAGATTAAAAGAAGGGGCTTTTCGGAGGTGATTAAGTCATGAAGGCAGAGCTCTAGTGGACAGCGTGAAGGCCTTTATA